TGTGATTCTATACGAATGTAAATTTATCGAAAAATAACAATCGATTTTTGTGCGAATCTTAAATGAATGTTACAATGTCGTCGAACAAACCAATGACTGCAATGTTTTTGAATTTCAATTAAGAAATGTTGCATTTATTTATAATTATTGATGTTGTTGCCGGCGACACGAGTATCATTCTATATTGCAGCAGTGGTGTGTGTGAATGTAAAGAGCGGCACGTTGATTGTGTGTCTTGAGTTTTGGAAATTAGCCAAATAACAATTGAGCATGCATATCCGATTGGTATTTGTTCAAGTCGATCAATTTTCAGTCATGCGAATGGCATCGTGACCGATGTGTACAGCGTAAATTTTGCTGGCACGAATTTTCCATTAGAAAACGAAGAAGATACAAAACCAAATACAATTGATGTCTGGCGCTGCAAATTAATTACGCTAATTAATATGTTATGGATGTTTGTTCTGTTCGTCGAATTCAACCGAAAGCCAAACAAATACCGAAAAATCCAAAGACTCAAAATGGTGGACGGTGTGAGTGGTGGCCCCTTTAAAAATAATGTTTGATACAAAACCAATCAAAAGGGAATTAGGTACAAATTGCGTTGATGATCAATTTTCCATTACAACGCAATTTTATTAAATTACCGTCTCAGTGCGCACCGAGTAAAAAAATAGACTCGGCTGATTTGTTGAGATAAAACATATTACCAGGACAACCGTGAAGCTAACGATTGACTTTTCATCTAAAAAAATACCGTATTTGTTTCGACCTGTCTGGTAAAATTTCAACATTTATTGAACATAATAGGGGCATACGCAGACGAATTCGCGTGATTGATTTATTAAGAGCCATTTTCTAGTGAGAGGTACCATTCATAATGAATTATGACCGAAATGAAAAGAACATTCATGAAAGAGCGACAAAGCAAAAAAATGGCATTCAACAAAAATTGGAAGGTGCAGACAAACTAGAGCAAATTTAAAAAGTTTGGCAAACAAATTAAATCCAATAAATTACTTCTTCCGGGGGAAAAAAGAGAGAAAAAACAATGAAATATTGAAAAGATTAAATCGATCGATTTCAATTTAAATGTCTTTTTTTCTCTTAAAAATAACTAAAAGCTGACAATAATCCGAATGAAAAGAATCCATCTGACAAGTTTCACATTTCAGAAACGTTGACCTTTCGATAAAGTGTTTAAAAGTTTCATGAACCAATTGGAATAGTAAACTTTGAAAAGAATCGCTATGCAGTGAATGTGTCTGTGGCTGCTTTAATTTAGTCATTGGCATTGATTCCCATCCTCTCTCTCATCTCTTCGCCCCTCTCTCTCTTTCACTCGGTATGTGTCGATACTAGCGTTGAATTGACTGGGAGTAAAACTTTTATTAAAGTTAAATGAAGTGTCGATAAGCGTAAATCACAAGAATGTAACTCGATTTCAAAATATCTTTCCTTAATTTTCGATTTCGTTTGCCATTCCTTTTATTTGTTCTTTCAAATGAAAAGTTTGAATTATGGCCGAGGCCACACAATTATCCAATGCTGTATTATGGATTTCAAGGGCTTGTGGTAATAGTTTGCGATTCAACTTGGAAAATTTCGCATTTGCAGATAATCGATTTTGCAATGCGAATTCTATCTTTCTCGCTCCATTTTCCTAATTTGTGGCATTTCTGAAATGGAGATAAAGTTTTCGACAACAGTCGGTTTACGCTGATACATGAATGTCGGGGGAATTTTTTTCTTCTTCATTTTGGAAACACTACAGCGAGTGTGTGTGTGTTTGTGTGGTATTTTTTGTAGACGATGAGTTGTATAAGTTCAAAACAAATTAAAAACTACTATCAATCATACTCAATTATGTATTGCGCCAACAATGAAATCTAGTTGTATTTCGAATTTGAAATTCGCGTGATTTTGTCTACACCAGACACATATCCATGCCAAAAACTCAACTCTTTCATCAAATAAATTCGATGAAATGCAGTAAAATGCTATATGGCTCTAATTGAATCGGTTGGCAAATATGAAATTTGACGAGTTTTGTTTGGCCAACCATTTCGTTTATCAATGATTTTACGGTACAATGAGTTGTATAACGATTGCAAAGTCATGTCTCTTTCACCAAACATGAAATGTTTACCCATTGACCAACTTAAAACGCCACATTCACGTGTTTGCACTTTATTTTCGGGCGAATATCCTTTTTGAAACAAAATCAATCTTTCGCCTAGTTTTAAAGAATTGAAGCATTCGAAATATGTAATCATCAGATTTGTATATTTATTTGAATTTTATTAATTGGAATATCGGAGCAAGGATTTTGTGGATTTTTTGGTAAAAAATTGTTGATTTTCAAAACGGAATTCATTTTGGCTAACATCTTTTCTAACGGTTTCTAAATGTTTCCGATTAAAATTGCATTACTTCCACTCATCATGAGTTTTGAATGTTTTAAAAAGGATTTCGCAACTTTAGCCGGATGCACCATTTTTTGTTTTGAATTCGAAATGTATTTGTATCGAATCGTGTAAGCCAATGAAAGCGCACATTCGATCGAGTATGAAAAGTGGAACATCGACCGGAAAATACGATGATGATTGGATACAAATATGAACCTCATTAAAATGAATAACATGTAATGATATCCGTCGGTCATCAGACCATATTTCCGTGCGAAAGTAAATAAATTGCATGTGTATTTACTGCGTTTGTTTGCTTTCCATTTGAATTGAATTGACGGCATGATATCACGTTGAAAAAGCGTAGCACTACCATCATGTATTCAAATACACAACAAATTATTTGGTTCGATTAAACACACACATTTATTTAAGTTCAATGCACACTCTTTATTTCAATGATTGATCGTTCATTTCGATATACTGTCTTTGAATCGGTCTCCCATCTCAATTGGACAGTTGAAAAAGTTAATTAATTAAGAGAAATCTAGAGCTCTCTGCTTTTAGTTTATTTATCTTTATCCATGCTCCTCAGCATGCACAACATTTCATAATATAGCCACTAGAGAGCATGAAACCGACACCGAAAGACCAATGAAAGTTTTACCATCGAACTTTGTTCTTTTTTTTCTCCCTCTCTCTCTCTCTCTCTCTCTCTCTCTCTTGAGTTATCCATTCCACAAATCCAAATATGAAATGAAATAGCGCGATATACATATACACCGACTGGATAAAGCGGAACATTCTAATTAATTAAATTATTAACAAAAGTTTTGGATGTACGGCTATTGAAAACGACAATCCTAATTGGTTGGCTGGTTTCAATAAGTATTGTACCGATCGTTACCGATTTACGAGAGGTTTTTCTGTCGTTTGTTTTCATCTATACCCGACATCTCTCGGCACATATCGAATCGCCGCAATTAAATTATTACTCAAGAACAAAATTAAAATTAGTAGTAATTGTGAACGTTGATTCAATATATGTTTCACTCGAGCTAAAATACTTTCTATTTCTTTTCTATCTACCATTGATCCTTTTCGAATGACAAACGGACAAAGTTTTGATTGCCAATTATCGGTTTAATCAATTGAATTCCTCTTTCAATGAGTTACAATTACAACCATGCGACAAAAAAGATACATTTTATTGATTAGAAATGTATCATTTTCAGCGATTTTCAGTTTGAATTTGAATTATATGTAACTGGCAGTATTGTAAAAACTGCCAAGTGTCAACTACAAAACGACATTTTAAACAATTATTTCACATTTCTGTGTATTGCGTATAATTTGTATCTATTTACAAGTAAATTTAAATTTTAATTGACTTTTTGCGCTTCAAAACACAAAGCTACATTTCGGGTTAATAAAAATAGAACCTATCTTTCCATTCATTGAATTGTGTGTAAAGGAAAATGTGGTCGATGGTTTGAGTTTTTCAATTTTTGATTCAAAATGTATAAGTAAGCACGTGGATGAGTTTGCCAAAGTGAAAACTCCTCTCATTCAAGTATCTTTTTTAAAAAAAATAAGACAGATTCGGAATTTGCACCATTGAACGGGAAGAGTGAAAGAGAGACCAGAAAAGTGTCAAACAACGTTTTTGTTGGACCGAAAACTTTTTCGATTTTCATTTGTGTTCTTTTGTGTTGGTTCGCCGTTCGCATGACAAATACGACAAGGAAAAAAAGTTCATCGATAATCTGGTGCTAAGGCGGATAAGCAATAACGATATCAATGGTGGTGTTGGTCATACATGGGCACGGTCAAAATTAAAGGGAGAGTCTATCCTACGATCAAACACCTAGTAAATTGAAAGAATTGTTGGCGTCAAAATCTGCTACGGATGCAAAAGGGGTTTTTCATTCCGCTCAGAAAAACTTGTTTCCAAACTGGGTTGGATGAGGATTGAGAAAGAAATCTGGATTTCTTTCTACTCTGTTGGTGCCCTGTACCGAGTCTCCTAGAGTTTCATATAAGGTTGCCATGTAGCAGCAGAAAGACAGTCAAAAACACAAAACTCCCGATCGATTTCAGATTATAACCATAAAATAACAGATTGAATATAAATTGAGCTAAACTCAAACCTGTTATTGTTGATTGTAAAATACGTATGTGAACCTGACCTGAGAATGTTGAGCGTGAAAATCAAATACATAACTACAAATTGAGAGTGCAAATAAAATAAGTCGAGCTATTTTTTTTTACTTCAACTGCTCATATATGTGGTTTTTACGCTAAATTTTGTACGTTTGTGTTTTGACCAAAATAAATTCTTATTCGTGCTTCGCTCAAATATTTTATAATTGCATACGTTATGTATTTTAATCTTTTCACACCCGGCCTATGTTCAGAACATGAGCGAAAATCTTAAAGATAGAAGATGGTTTTTTTCTAAAGCAAGAATAAGAGGTTATTTATATCTTTTTTCATCTAAATTTTTATTAATTTAATGACCAACGCCATAGATATAAAAATAGGACAAAACAAAAAAAAAGTATTTAACACGTGTATAAATTCGTTCGGCATCAATGAGATACATTGAAGAGACAACCCATATCTCATTTAGTGATTAGTCTACGTCGTATTGAATAAGCGTTAAAACGTCTTTGGCAAAATTGAATAATTTCAGTGAACGTGAGTGTTTTTTTTTTCTTTTTATTTTTAATTGAAAGGTATTCCGATAAGCAAGATAGATCAATATTTAGTTAATTCACTGAACATTTTCAACAACAGATGAACGGGCCGCATGACGATTTTGTTGATGGAGAATTGGGAAAAAATGTCTCAGAAATGATGAATTTGAATGGAGCTACCACTGTTCCATCAAAGCATATAGCACAAGTGAGTAGACAACATTTTATGTTATTTTTAACTGTATTTTAATATATATTTAGTTATAAAAGAGTGTAGTTTTCAAAGTTGGCACCAAAAAATAAATCAGTGAAAAATGTGTACAAAAATTTATTACAAAAATATAAGATAACTTATTGACTTATTGTTAAAAAAACTGAATAACTCTTTTGTTTTTTTTGCACTATATCTAACTCAACAGGGAAAAATTCCACGACAAACAAGAACTAAATTAGAAAAAAAAAATTTAATCACTGCCATTTGTATAGTGTCTGCTATCGCATTTGTCGTTTTCTTGTTGTATATTCGATCATCAGAGGGTACGTATGGAAAAATCTTAAAATCATTTAAATCTATAACGTATGGTTCTTACATTCATAAAATTTATTGCATTCTATTCAAAGCTTGTTTAATAAAAGTTTTTAAATCTACATTCTGTATTTGTGTATTGAAGGAAAAGGACCGAGTTTGAATGAATCACATGTTCAAACAGCTTTGGAAATTCTATCTTCAATGGATCAAAGCATTGATCCATGTGATGATTTTTATGCTTTCACTTGCAATGGTTGGATAAAAAAGAACCCCATTCCCGTCGGCCGAGCAAGCTGGAGCATAAATGGTAAAATAAAACAAAACAATAATCTTGTATTAAAAAATATTCTCGAGCAACCAATGTCAACGTTTAAATCAAAATCTGAACGAAATGCACAAAATTACTATCAAGCATGTCTTGATAAAGACGAGAAGGTTCAAAAATTAGGTGCTGAACCACTGCTCAAATTAATTCGAGATATGGGTGGATGGAATGTCACTAGTAATGCAATCAATAAATTCAATATTACCAACTGGTCACTAGATAAAACATTGACAGAGTTAAAGAGCAAGTACGATTCAAACGCTTTATTCAGTTGGAGTATTTATCAAGATGCCCGAAATTCATCACAAAATGCTATAAACATTGATCAATGGGAATTTGGTGCTCCGAACAATAAACAATATTTGACTAAAAATTCAACAGTTTTGTCGGCCTATTTGAAGTTTATGGTGAAAGTTGCTGTTCTTCTGGGTGCTGATAAAAAAGAAGCCACACGACAATTGCAAGATGTCATTGAATTTGAAACGCGATTGGCAGAAATTATCACTGATAATGGTTGGTTTTGTAAAATTTATTCTGTTTGCAGTGCACACTTTGCACAAACTTGTTTTATTTTATTCAAAACTATTAGATACATATTTTGTCAGCGCTATATGGATTTCGACTTTAAAAAATTTGTTTTGTCATAAAAATCCTTATATCATCCATATTTATATTTTATGCCCATTTTTACATAGCTGATCGTCGAGAATTCTCGAAACTATATCATTCAATGACGTTGAAAGAGCTACAAGACCTCGCGCCTTTTATTAATTGGCATTTATATTTCCAACGCGTGTTTCAAGTAATAAACCATAATATTACCGAAAACGAGCGCGTTATCGTTTATGCTCCAAAATATTTAGAAAAATTGTCAACCATTATTGCAGAATATAAAAAAACGGACGAAGGGAAAATGTGAGTTAAATTTTATTTGTTTGCTACTAAATAATTAGAATCATCCAATTCTATTGAGACCAATCGTTTGCATTAAATTTAAAAACTATTTTCATTTACAGAGTATTGAGCAACTATTTAATATGGAGATTAGTACGTTATTATAGACAATTTTTGTCGGAACCGTTTGTTGATGCTTATGATATTCTTCGCAAAGAACTGTGGGGAATTAATAAACGTAATGAAAAGTGGCTTAAATGTATCGGTATGACAGACGCGTCAATTGGATTTGCGACTGGTGCAATGTTTGTACGTGAAGCGTTTAACGGTGATGCAAAATCGCAGGTAGAAGAAATTGTCAATAACGTTCGATTGGAATTTAGTAAAAATTTAAAAAATCTTGAATGGATGGATTCGAAAACACGAAAGTTGGCCATTGAAAAAGCCGATGCAATTACGTATCAAATTGGATATCCGGATTATATTTTAAATCCACAATTACTTGACGAACAATATGAGACGTTAGAATTTGATTCTAAGAATTTTTTTCAAAATGAAATCAATCTTTTGGTCTTTGAATTAAAATATAATCTCAAAAAATTGAGTCAAAAAGTGGACAAAACAAAATTTATCACAACACCAACAACAGTTAATGCATATTATAATATGTACAAAAATCAAATGGTTTTTCCAGCTGGACAGTTACAATTGCCAGTCTTTGATTCTAAAAATCCGAAAAGTATGAATTTTGGTGGTGTAGGATCCATAGTGGGACACGAGGTTTGAATTGAAAAATTAGAAGAAAATTGTGAAAAATCCAAATTTCTCATACACGCATTTTTCGCCCAGGTGACACATGCCTTCGATGATCAGGGTCGTGAGTTCGACAAACATGGAAACTTAAATGAATGGTGGAATAACAAAACCTTGGAATATTTCAAAGAACGTACCAACTGCTTTATCGAACAGTATAATCAGTATGAAATGTGTGGAAAACATTTAAATGGAAAGCGATCACAAGGTAATTCGAGACACAAATGAAAACGAAGTGAGGACTTATTTCAATTGGTCTCTCCTATAACGGAATCAATATACTTTTGATTGTTTTCAATTGATCCTTATTTATATGACATAAAATTGATTTCTTACAGGTGAAAATATTGCGGATATTGGTGGTCTAAAGACGGCTTACAATACCTACATTAAATCAAACAATGATCTTGATATTTATCCGTTGCCTGGTGTCAATATGACGAATCGTCAACTATTTTTCTTTTCATTTGCTAAGGTATTTACCATAAATTATTTTGTCTGCGTGTAATAAAAATGAAGATTTTTTCTTCAAAAAATTCCAGAGTTGGTGTTCCGTAGAATTTGATCAAGTAAATAAGAACTTAATCGATTCTGATGAGCATGTGCCAAAAAAATTCCGTGTAATTGGTACACTATCAAATTCAAAGGAATTCTCTGAAGCTTTCAAATGTCGGATCGGTTCGCCAATGAATCCACCTAAAAAATGTGATATTTGGTAAACGAATCACATTCAGATAACATTTTAAAAAGTTTTCCAAATAATCATGTTCATGTAAAACTGAAATGAAATGTTAAAATTATAACGAATTGCCGTGGTAAATTGATTCCTCTACATCAGCATTTTATTCAAAATGTCGGAAAAATGATTTTTCATTGAAAATAAAACTTTAATTTTTTTTATTTTCTTATTTTTATCTTTTTTTCGGGATATTTTTTACAATAATTAAGCTATATGGTAAAAAATACAAGGTAATCGATCATCATTCTTTTTCAAAATAAGATCACAATTTTTCATCGATTGAATCTCAATAGAATTGCTGAAATTATACCCCGGAGTATTTAAGGGGGGTTATCGGGGCATACGACCCCTGTGCTCTTGTATGGTGTTGGTGAATGTGTACACGGCATCAAATCGAATGAAATTCCGTCAAAAAAAAATTGAGCATGTGCCAGCGTCAAAAACACTTATTTTTTGATATTATTCATGAATATAAAATAAAAGAAAACGAGACGAATTGTATTTTTATCACCGAAACGGAAGCACATCCAAAAAAATACACTGAAGAGTATACGATAGTCAACAATAGACGACCAATTTATGATTTTAATCATGTCTCGTACATGTATTTGAAACGCTTAGCTAATATAAGATGATTTGATTACGCTTTTATTTAGATGGCGCGTGTAATACAATATCCTTGTATTCATCATGTATTGTACCACAAACGAAGATGCAATGACAATAGAAGTAAAATACTCATTTAACCAAATTAGATGAAACATTTGATGCAAGAACTCACGTACCATAAACACGCGGCATATCAACCATTCGATTTACCACCGTTACTGACGCTGCTGCTACTGCTGCTGCTCGTCTCATATGTAGCATTGTGATACATATACAGTACATAAAGCACAGATTGCGTATTTTTATTATGGAAAATAATGATTGTTCAACTCATACAATACACCAGTTGAACCATATTTGCGTGTATGCTGAAATTTTCTGTTGACTCAACAGAAAAATTCCAATATCGAAGTCATCGGTAATGAATACCACAAATGCTAGTCGATATCCTATGCACACACACATACACACTGTTCCTTCTTACGCTGTCATATCAGGGTGCTCGTTTGAATAGACAATCCCATTGAGCGAATGTAAAGCAACAGCAGAAACCTCTTATGGTGCTCATTATTTTCCGTAATTGATGCAATATTCCGAATAAAAGCTCGTTTCATTTAGCAAAAAATCAATTCGAAAACCCCAAATATAAATGATATTGGATGAATGATTCTGGAGAGTAAAATGAATTTTTTAAATTGCTGCTGCTGTTGTTGAAATAACGGAACCAAACTGGATTAATATAAAATTAATTTGCATATTTAAAGCGTTGCTATTATCTCAGAAAATTGAAACAAAATCATTTATTTATCGATTTGAAATCGATATCATCGGAATCACAGATATCCGGACCGGATTTAGTTTGGCTTTTTCTTTCAATTTGTTGTCGATACAGAAAATCATCATTTTCGAATATTCGCCACAAATTTAGTAATCCCATTACAAATCCTTAAATTCCATTGATTCTGGTGGCCGAAAACGAAACGCACGCCCATTGAAATTTATAGAAAATATTTTATATACAATGTAATTTACAGTGTTTTTGTGCATTTGTGGCATAGCGTATAGATTGTGTCTTCTGCTGGCATTTATATATTTACATCGCAGTTGCTGCAAGCAATTCATTTTTTATTCCCGTTTTATAAATTCCACCAACACAAGAAGATTCCAACGTTTATTTGTTAATGCAACTCAGGTATGCAGAGCATCCACACATATATAAATTGAAAATGGGGTCGAATGTTTCCGCTTATACAATGCACACAAACAAGAACAATAATAACGAGGTTGTCGAATTAAAACGATGAGAGAGAGAGAGAGAGAGAGAGAGAGAAAAAAAAATTAAATTCTTATTTGAAATTGAAATCTCGTTGTATTTAAGATAGAAATGGTTTTAAGTCAATAGTCGCATAACGACATGCAAATATAAATAGGACTATGCACGAAAAGAATGCAAAGACGAAAAGCAATCAGCAAAAGGAACGAAAATTCTCTATTGATCGTGGTATAATAGGAGGCAGCAGACCCCCTCCATACACAAATAATGTCGCTTGTCATTTTTCATCGCCATTTTTTTTATTCAACATTTTGTTCGCTTTTATGTGAATCGATTACATTATTTTTGTGTGTGCTAGACATAACAAAAACCTGTTTTTTCCTTTACAAATTTATTGACAATCGATGTGGTGTTTGATTTTCTTGCCATTGTTGAAATTCCGTGTGGGGACCTCTTTGTGTTTATTGAATCAACGAATTTCTTTTGTATACGCTCCAATATTTATTATTAAATTTGATTTAACTCAAATAAAATTCCTTTATTTGGAAAATAAGAGAGGAAAATTGGTGAATAACACCATACAAACAAATCGATTAAAATTTGAATGAAAATGGTTTGGCATGAAGCTAATGTTTGCTTGCTATTAGATGTTTTTGCCATAATAAATAAAAATAAATATCGCCATCATCATCATTGTCATCAGCAGCAGCAGCAACGCCATCACCAACAAAAGCTAGCAACAAATACGGAAAATAAATTGTGCTCATAATTCATAGAGCCACAGAGTGAGCAATTGAAAATGTTGTCTATACACGAAATGGCTGCTAAAAGGGATAAGATGCTCCAAAGTACTGGTAACTCAATGCCTTTTTCTCTTTCTCCCCTCCATTCTATCTCAACCTATATGAATAATAGATAGATTCAATGTATTTGACGGTGTTAGTGGTGTCTGAAACACAAAGACAAGCATGTGTGAAGATATGCGCAAACATGCTGCATCACAAAATTCAATGATTCACACATCATCTCGTCGTCGTCGCCGTCGTCATCATCATTAAAACCACCTATAACACAAACGGAAAAGATATTGAGAAAACTACACTAAAAACAGAGAACCATTTAGTAAATCTAAGGCACGCTTGTGTATGGTTGTATATACTCCGGGTTCATATGTTCATTCTGTCATGCTGTTGCATAAAACAGGCCCCAATGATTTATTGTGTATTTCACTTAACGTCGTTATATGCTCATACATAATTCTCTTCTTGTTGTTCGGCGATGTGTTTGTATGTGTCATGCAAAACGAACAGAGACAAGTGGCTGGCCGACATCAAAATAGTGAGTGCACAAAAAAAACATTTTAAGAAAATCTTTGTTTTCGGAAAAACACTTTCTTTCAATGTCCTTGTAGCTATGAAATCACACATTTTCATGCCAGACAATCATAAATCATGAAACAGCTTTGGTTGTTTGATGCCCATTTAGAAAATGCCAGTCAAAGAGCAAATCAATTTTGAATCCATCCAACACCACTCATCACATCACACGGACACTTTATATTGTCTGAATCATATTCTGCATAAAATTACTGCCACCGACTGATGATCATGACTCATGGCACTGACCTAGGTTGATATACTTTTCGATGGTGATGCCTTCATTTTTGCGGAATGTCGTATTGAATTACCATCTCAAAACTGAATGAAAATAAAACGTGTAGGAGTATATTGAGCAAACGACTTTGAATTTTTGATCAAATATTTAGATGCGAACGTCTACTTAAAATGTCATGATCGAAAGTTATTTTGATTACCTCACAAAATCTACATAAGGAGTTCTATTTCATAAGAGTAGACGAATAAATATTGCAACATTGATGCAAAGAGCCAAAAAATCATATACACACACACATTACTCATCAACGTATGATGAAAATGTTGTGTTTGTTTGTGTGATCCACAAATATTTACCCAATAAACTTTCGATAAGCATCATGTTTCTCGGGCTCAATTTGATTCTTATTAATTTTATATATTCTCTACGATTCTCTATGTGTATGCTTAGCATTCATATTCTCTCAAATTGCAGCCGATGAGAAAATTGAATGGCGGCATGAAATAACATCAATATTTGCTGAAAGTTGTTTCGAACCAATAAACTCACACATTTCGATTAAATGGAAATTCAGAAGAAATTAAAATTATTTCAGACCGCACTGCAATTATGTTCCATATGAGACTGTATAAAATCCAAAACTGTAGCACAGCTAGCGCCACTACGGACAACTGTGGAGTTCTAGTTAGTTGTGTGTAACTGAGCAAAAGTCTTTTCACTAGTTGGCGGCAACTTAGTATTGATTACATTGAATTCCGTCGTGGCGCTAGCTGTGTGACACTTTGAGCATAATTTCGGTACGTTTCAGACAAATTGGATTTTATATATCGATTATGGTATATGCGAATGACATCTATTTTATAGATATAATCAAGTTTTGATATACCTCAATGTGATGAGTTATGATTTCTACAAATCAAACCAAATGTGTTGCAATGTAGTATAGAAATTACTATGGAGATTTATTCTGAACAACAGAAAATAATTTCATTTATTGAATGACTTTTTATATTAAAACTAGTTCTTGTTTATGTGACAGTTAATAAAATTTAATTTTAATTCAAAATAACACCAAAATTAATTGACAATTATTGCTTATTATATATTGTATAACAGCCAGGTAATAAGTCAACTTGATTAAAGCATTTCAATGTACAAAATGATAAAAATAGTAGCAATCGCCAAAATATCCGGCGACCATTTCGTTTTTCCATATTTACTTAAAAATTTAACACAATTTTCTTTTAAAATGGGCAATTTTTCTGTATTGTTTTCATTATTAAAGTGTTCAACCACAAATTGATAGTTTGGATCCTTCGAAATCTCTGCAAACTCAACAAAATTATTATTGTTTGAGTGACAGTTCTCACACTTGCAAATGAAACTCCACGAAGATGTATATTTCTCTTGTCTTTCCTCAACAGTCAGCTCATTGCTAAGTGGCAAATAGCTGATAAACAGTTGTTGTCCCTTCTTAATTGGTCTGATGGTCACACAATATTGTTGTTTTCCTTTTCGAGGATGATACAAATTCGGTGTACACGAGTGATTCAGCATGGACATCATATTGAATACAGATATTGTTGACCATGGTTTTTTGCTCATAATTGAATTTGTTTTTGTCACTAGAAAATGATGCAATATTAAATGCATTAGAAAGCGTTG